TCTGTCTGTGTGTCTGTCTCTCTGTCTGTGTGTCTGTGCGTCTCTGTGTCTATCTGTCTGTCTGTCTGTCTGTCTGTCTGTCTGTCTGTCTGTCTGAAGTTGAGTTCTTGAATGACTGAGGTATTCACAATCTAAAATAGTGATATGATATTGAAGGATTTTTAATTAGGATCTGAGTAAAACACATCAATGGTTCTTTCAGCCAATAGAATCGCTCCCAGGTCTGAGGGGGCGGAGACTAGACCAGGTGTTTTAGGGTGCAGAACTCACCTTGTTCGGAGGGAGCGATGTTGCTAAGCAACACAGGACTCATCCACAGTATCCAGAGTGACAGCGCCATGGTAAGGACAGAGGAACGGACAAGGTGAAAGGGGCGGGACAGTCTCCTGTAACGTCAGCTGAACCTGCAGAGAGACAGACGGCCGACCCCATTCAGTCTGATTGCATTACAGAGTAACGCTCAGCTCTGAAGATCCACATGAGAGTACAGCTTCAGCACTGGGTTACTCTAAGGTCACAACAAAAAGACAGTTTCTTACAGCCAAACTCAAATACTCGATGCTAAAACTCCTGTAACGCTGTTTTCCAGTCTGTCTGAAATAAAATGACTTTAATTCAAATTAGCATATGTTTTGTGTTATTTTACATGTATTTTTTGTATAAAAAATAACTTCCCGACTGCTGTATCTAAGCTGATTGGTTCATGCTCTTATATCAGATTTGCGACACGCTCATCAGAATCTCTTATTTTCATATAATTCAAATCATATGTAGTTCATCATTTACATTCACACAAGAGGATAATGTGTTTTAATTGCAGTGAAGAAGGTCAGCGCTCACACTAATACGATTGCTGTTTATTGACGTATCTATTGATCATCAGGCTGCAGTACTGTCATAGCAGGAGCTGCTCTCCAGCCGCTGCCGACGCGAATGATCACAGTGTCAGATAAAAGAGCAACTGAGCGGCTCGATACTGCGTTCATGTGAGGTTTGAGCTCAATCCCGCAGCCTCAGTCAACTGAAATAGATTCACACTATCATATAAACTTATGGGTGGATATATCTAGAATATATAATCTTGAGATCACAAAAAATATAGTATAGTATCCATGGATCTTGTTATTTGCTGCCAAACGAATCAAACACAACGTTTAAGTATCTTTCTAGTTTAAAGGAATAGTTCACCCAAAAATGACAATTTGCAGGCCATCCAAGATGTAGATGAGTTTGTTTCTTCATCAGATTTGGAGAAATGTAGCTTTGCATCAGTGTCTCAGCAACGGGTGCTCTGCAGTGAATGGGTGCCGTCAGAATGAGAGTCCAAACAGCTGATAAAAACATCACAATAATCCACAGCACTCCAGTCCATCAGTTCACATCTGGAGAAGACAAAAGCTGAAACAAACCCAGCATTAAGATGCTTTTAACTAAAATACAAGTCCATAATCCATAATAACTCTTCCTCCAGTGAAAAAGTGTTCTGGTGTGAATCAGGAGAGAAATCTGCACAGATCAAGCACAGCTCTAAACAAATATGTGGCTGGATTTTGATGTGAGAGACAACAGCAGATGCACTTTTTCACTGGAGGAAGTGTTACTTGTGGATTATTGTGATGTTTTTATCAGCTGTTTGGACTCTCATTCTGACGGCACCCATTCACTGCAGAGCATCCATTGCTGAGATACTGATGCAATGCTACATTTCTACAAACCTGATGAAGAAACAAACTCATCCTGATCTTATATATAACATAATAAGCAAATAAGTATATATAAGCTGAGCTAAAACACAGTCTGGTATCTGACTGAGTGATCAGCAGTTCACTGAATCAGTCCAGTGTACGCGTGAATATCACGACTGTGTGCGAGTGCGCTGGAAAAAATCATTTTTTAAGGATCAGTAATTCAGCATCCCTTCAGACAGACTCGCACACACATTGATTGGTCGGCGGCAGTCTCTCGACGTACAGTCGCCATGGCAACGCTGCGGTGGTGGCAGAGGAGACTCGCATCTCTCGCTCATTTGTGCTTCTCTCTCTCTGTTCTGTGTGTCCAGCCTGGTTTTTCCTGCTATGATCTATGACTCATTTCTTTTTCACAGTTAGCAGTGCTGTGAAACCCCTGCGGGCTCCGTCTCTATTGATGGTGCTTCAAAAATACTCCCGATCCCAGGAGACGGAATCAGACGATTTATCACGAGCGTTTCCCCAGGCGCAGCAGCTCGCACCAGGACCAGAGCTAAAATCCAGCCTCAGGCTTCAGCGCGGCCTATAGCAGAAAAACACTGCAATCGCTGATGGAAATATAACAGACGTTATAAATGCTGGATTGTGATTGGTCAATCACTGCGGTCTGTGATGGTACACAGCTGTACTTTATGCTACACTTGATCACTGGATTTCCTCCATCGCTGCGCTAGTTTCATGTCTCTTGTATCGCTCCACACCCTCTTTCTTCTCACAAAATAAAATCATTTAGACTCATTTCAATATTGCATGTCCATTTTTATTTATTAATTCAGTAAGCAGCCATATGCTTCACATTAGATTCCTGATCAATATATATATATATATATATATATATTAAATTAGCAATGCAAGACAATATATTACTAATGATTTTAGAAGTAAAATGTAAAACTTTTCATGCAAGTAATCCAACAAGTATGTTAAATGCATCCTATATTAATTTTTGATCCGTATCTACATTAATATCCACTTATCCACAGGATAAATGTAATATTACTAATTATATTTGCAAAAACTGAAGTGAATGCAGTCAATACTACTCAGAACTGTGTTGTAAATATGCCACATATTGCTATAATGCAAAATGAGAGTCTGCTCATTATGAAGAATTCACATTAGCCTCTAAACAACAGATAATAATTCAGTTTACATGCTCTTATTATCAGCTTTTTCAAGTTATATTTTATGTTGATAACTCTCATATAATTTATAAATGTAAACCATTAATACATTTTTTATTTATGTTTTACAAGTAATTAATGTTTATACATTCATAAATAATTTTTATGAGCAATCAGTGTTTATACATAAGAAAACGTTCTTTAAGTTTGATCTGTTAACATTTCGAAAATGTTCTAATATTAACATTTTCATCAACTAAAATTTTATTTTTGTCAACAGAAATGATATGCCACTTAAATGAGTGTAAAATGGACCGAAATTAATATAAATGACCAAGTTTTTTGTTAAAAAACAAACCTAAAAATGGTGTAAGCAGTAACACTGGACTCACACTCACACACACACACACACACACACACTCTCACACACACACACACACACACACACTCACACACACACACACACACACACACACACACACACTCTCACACACACACACTCACACACACACACACACACACACACACACACACTCTCACACACACACACACAAACACACACACACACACACACACACACACACACACGTTTACTCATCTATCTAAATGAAGTCATTGCATAGACTTCCCACTGTTTTTATATACAGCTAGTTTTAAATACCATAACCTAACCTAAACAAACACTAACAGAAAACTTTCTGCATGTTATTTTTATACTGTTATTACAAATGAGGGCATCCTCAAAATGAGGTTTTGTCAGATTTAGCTCACATCTGTTACAAATCTGTCCCCTAAATATGGTTAAGTATAGCTACAAACACACACACGTTCATACTGACTGATTCTAACCAAATGAAGAGGACACACATTTAGATCCCTACCTCCTTATGGAAATCAGAAACATAATACGGACTAAATAAAGGTGAAACCACACACACACACACACACACACACACAGCCCTGTACAGATACAAGAGTCACACTTCAGACGCCATCAACACCCTCGAACACAGAGTTATTCTCTGTCACAGAATGAACTGAAGCGGCCATAACACGGATCGACAGCTGAAGATCAGCCAGTCATCAGACTGTGTGCTGAAGCACAGAAATACTGCATACAATAATAACTAGCCATCTTCACATGCTTTATGGTCTGACAGGTGCACTGATAAAAAATATGGTGTAGGATTTACCTCAAAAAAATTTGTCATTTTCACTCAGAAACTGCTAGTAAATTTCACAAATAATTACAAAGACATGTCAAGTAACACATTCAATTAAACATGACATTTTTGAGGAACGAAGACTGAAAGTGTATTTTCTTGTCAAAGGTACTCAGTATTAATCACATGACATATACATCACTGACACCTGTGACACGTGAAAGTGTGAACATGCACTCACACACACGCACACGCACACACACACGCACACACACACACATGCACACACACACACACATGCACACAGACACACTCACAGACTCACACACACACGATCCCTAATGGCCCAGTGACTTACGCAAATAACACCTTCTAATTTAGTACCAGCAAAAACACTGGAGGCTGACACACCCTTACACACACAAACACACACAAATGAAAAACACATTATTAATTATTAAAAATAATTATGAACAATTATTATTAAAATTAGTGGTCGCTATTATGGGACATTCAGTGCAGTGTTATGTTAGCATCACTGAGGTACTATTGTAGTTTTTCTTTTAATTTTTTTTTATTTTAGTTAAAAAATTTTGTAAATTGTTTTGTATTTTTGTCATTGTTATTAAAAATAACAGAAATAAATGTATATATAGTTTTTGCTTTTTTAACTTTGGTTTTTAGTCTTTTTTACATCCGGGTAAACTAAATGAAAATGAGAAATGTTTAAAAGTTTTCATTTTTTATATTTTATTTTATTTAAGTAACTAACGTGTTTCTCTTTGGTTTTAGTTTTAGTTAACCCTGGTGCAGTTTCATATATTCACATATATGAAATGTATCATGCATTTACCACACTGTATGCACGCACTTCATAAATTATGACAAATTTCATTTTTGCTGTCAGAAATTATTATTGTTAATTATTGTATGTTCTACATAGAAAAACAAACCATATCTCCTCTGTTCAGGATCTATCCTCAAGCAGAATACATTTTGATGTGGTATAACTCAATTAAGGTTTAATCGATATCAGTAAAAATGAAAGATTATTGTGTATGAACACAGTATATGTATCTGTGAAAACATTCATGAGACACAACCGTTATTCAGTGACTATTAAAGATGAATTTGCCTCCAGGTGTAATTAAATGTCAAAGTCTAATTAAAGTCCGGCTGTGATGCACTTTCATGGATAACAGAAGCGGTTGATGAAAGCGTGTTGTGAGATAAACGTGGACCACATCCAGCCAAATATTGCCGTCCTCGTCTGTCAGCGCACACGAATTCACTGTCGTGATCAAAACCTGCGTTTGTGGAGCGCCGAGAACCAAACACCAGAGCAGAGCTTCATCTGAAGAGCTTCCCGAAGCACCAGTATAATAATCAGCCTGGAGTAATTGCTATAATTCACCCTCTGTGTTAGAGACATAAACAAACACACCACTCTCATCAGCGCTGCACACAACACTCACTCACACCAGATCAGCTGCAGTCCGTCCGAAAGTCAACGTGAAGCTACAGAAGCCACAGATGAAGTCAAATAAAAAGAAAAGATCATATATTTTGATTTTCTCACATGCACGTTTCACCAAAAATACATCACAGTCATCATGTTCATGTTGCCTTTTGCTAATGAAGCCGAAAAGCAGCATAAAAAGATTAATGGTAGACTATACATCTGGTCATATTTAGATTATCAGCCAGTCTGTGACTGATAAACAAAATCTACTGCTAGCATGCAACTATAAAATAAATGTTTTCAAAAATCATTCAATTTAAAAGATGTCATGTGCATTTATGTCTGAAATTGCATTATATCAAAGCTATGCACATTATGAACTGTGAGTTCAGACACACTTGACTGAATTTATGTGTCTCATAATTGTAAAATCCTTCGTACTAAAGACTTTTGCATAAAACTGCATTAACAGCAGCTCTGTAGACAAAACTAAACGGTCTAAATATGAGTATTTTACATGAACATGTCTTTAAATTGACAATCTAGACCAGATAGTGAAGCAAATGCATAAAATGCATTAAAAAAACAATGCAAATACGGATTATTAAAGCAAAATAAACACCAACAGATGGATCAGGTCTAGTATCCAGTCAGAGGTAAAGGGGTTTATTTTTAATAATGACTGGCTGACTCATTTATATCACAGCTACTTACCAAATAAATAAATACACCAACATAAGGCTTCCGCTTAAGACATAGAAAAGCATTAAATCATCGAAAAAACTGGCCAAGCAAAAAAAAAAAACAAAACATGTACTTACATTGCAACGCTGCAAATACGTTATTCTAACAAAGACCCATTTTTGTCAACCACTATTGGTAACAGACTACATAATTATTCTCCTATTTCAGCTCTTCACTGTTTTAATTTGATTGTATAACTCAGGACTAAATTACTTTCCAGACTGGCTGAGTGACATTTAAGACGTTTAGCAGACAATCTAATGTGATTGTCCCTAAGAAAACAGACCAAATAATGAGAGCTTAAGAGATCCAACACACATTTAAACCACTGCCGGGTTTCTGCACCTCAAGCAACACCAAAAAACTGCAAAAATAATGAGTGTTCTCAAACAGGTTTCCCAAGCACTAATGCTCTGAAAGCGCAGCAGAACGACAGCGAATCTCACGGAAATCAGCTTACAGATGGCTTCTGCACACTACACTGGGGTAAGAGAAAGTATTTTTAACAACAGGGACTCAAAACTGCTGAGACGGCAAAGCAAGAAGGATACACAAATAATGCCTATTTATCTAACGCTATAAATACAGGCACAAACGTATAGATAAATGAATGGCCACCAGCTCAGGGGTCAATTGGTCTGTTGCTATGTATTTATCTATTAATGACTAAACGTCTGAGATTATTCTACAGCTGCATGAACCTCTTCATCACAGGCTGAATCTATAGATATACTGTGGTACCAATAAGCCAACAACAGAAGTGACATACGAGATTATTTTCTGCTCTTCATCCACTTGCTTTGACTAGTAACCAGTGTTTTTGCATGTCTTTGCATTTGAGTCTTTGCTCGCTCAACCATCCGTGAGTCTTCACAAGATCATTACGAGCTTCTTTATAAACACACGCTCTCTTCTCCATATATCCGCCTGTAAAACACAGTAACACATGCACATTGACATAACTACGCATCCGAGGACTTGTATTGTTCTTATATGGTCTAAAATCAAACCTAAATAAATATTAACATATTTTTCACCAAGCGATGATGTCCCGGTTTTGTCAGACTCAGCTCACTTCTGTAGACAAATTTATCCTCAAAATGTAAGCCAGTAACTCCGAACACACACTTATCTCTCTAAAGGGGACATACGGCACCATAGACTTACTAATATAGACAAAATACCACAAACCCTAAAAGAAAACATTCACCATGTTTAGAATAAAACATGAAAGCATTATTGTTTTATTTATGAATCATTTTCCCAAAGAGGACAGTTTTTCCAGATTTAGCTCAATTAAAGCGTATCCAAATGCACTAGTTGGGGCTCATGCATCGCTCAGGAGAAAGATACGGCGTGTGCGGGAGATGGAGGAGATGTTGGGTGGGGAGAGATGGAGAGATGGAGAGATGGAGGTCTGTCAGAATGCACCAGCAGCCAGTGGCGCCAACGCATTTACACACCACTCACGCACCGCAGCGTTCAGCTCGCCTTTGGCCTGTAACTCAATTTACATGCAATGAAAAATGACCACAACGTACGTGTGTGTGTGTGTGTGTGCGCATGCATGATATATAGGTCTGTGCATGCAGAATGTGCGCTTATGTGTGTGTGTGTGTGCATACAGTGATATGTGCATGCACAATGGCGTGTATATTCTATATGTGTATGTGTGTGTCCTCAGATGTAAGCCAAAAATAACATTTATTTTGGGTGGCATTCGGTTCTTAATTGGAAATATGAGTCATACATACAATTACAAATACATGAATATAGGCTGTATGCATAGTGTATAGGTCATCTCAAGTGTCCCAATTTACCTTAACCCACCCTGTTCTGTAAATTCCAGAGTACTAGATAGAATTGTGCTCACTTAAGTAAACGTGTATAATGAAATGATGTTGTGTATCGACCGTGATATGAAAATGTGTGTGTTTAGGACTGAACCGAACACACACTGTTCCTTCATTCAGTCATTCTTACCTTCTGTATCCACCCTACATCTCCTCCCCGATTCACTCGCTTCTCCTCTTCTCCTCCAGTGTCGCCAGAATGCATCAAGATTAAAATTTAATCAGCTGCCATCTTTCCAGACGATAAAGGACCAAAAACATGATATTCAAAAGTGGGAATAATCCACCCTTCAGTCACAAACACGCAGGAGGAATAATAAACACGGGCAATGCTATAATCCAATATGAATACAGTCTCCTGACCCTGTCGATAAGACAAATCAACATACAACATTAAGAGCATCCATGAGTGAAGACGACAGTCGCTTTGGTTTATTAGTCATTATGAGCGCAAGCGAAGATCTGCGCGCGCTCCGACTAATAATCGCGCGGGTTTAGAGGCATTTACGCGATGAACTGTTGATCGTCAAGGGTATTGCAATGAGACGATGAGCTGGGGGTGATCCTCTTCTGCTGCAAACTAAACACTGAAAGAGCTAGAATATTAATAAGAAGTTACTGAGCCGAGGTAAAAATATATATACTGTGTGTCTGGCGCCGCTCCCCGACCACGACAATACAAAGGGTGACCCTTTTCATTGAAACCAAAAAATAATCATATTACTAAAAAGGAAAAATCGAGAAAAATAAATGCGTCGATCGTTTGCTGCGGACGCAGAATCCCTCCCCGCGCACGCGTTAAATCCGTATTAAATGGCACCGATAATCACCAGCATCCGCGACATCTAGCGCAGAAACACATCTGGAGGTCCGTGACTAAACCCACGGCCTGCGCCGAGCGATGGCCGATGAAGAAATCACAAATATAGCTACACGACGATTAAAAACACTGTTTGGCATCTCCGAATAAAACGGCTACATTCACATTCAGGTGTACGACAGGAGCAGATGTCCTCGTCTAAACAGGGCATTGGGGTTCATATGAAAGAGAGGAGGCAGATGTTGAGATGGCAGCAGAGCACAGATGCAGAAGACCCCAGCAGATAGCAACAGATCAGTGGAAGATGCGGCTGCTGCTGCTGCATACAATAGAGACACACGCCGAAAAACAGCGCAGGCCTCGCTGCTTCGACAGAATAATTCACCCGAACCTAACGATTTACTCAATGATAGACGCGCGCCGGTTCCTGACGGGAGAGCAACGCTGTCCGCGCTTGTGCTGTGCTGGATGCGGCATGCGCGAGCCTGAACGCGACGCTTTGATGGAGAGAACACGAACGCCCTGCTTCTCTCTCTCTCTCTCTCTCTCTCTCTGTATGCTTCTCTGTGTCATATACACACACACACACACACACACACACATACACACACACACTACCGGTCAAAAATTTGGGATCAGAAAGATTTTCAATGCTTTTTACAGGAGTTTCTTCTGCTCATCAAGGCTGCATTTATTTTATTAAAAATACAGGACAAATTTTAATATTGTAAAAATAACGTTTTTCGGTTACACTTTATTTCGATAGTCCACTTTAGACATTCTACTAACTACAAGTAACTTTGTAACTACATGTCAACTACATGTCAACTAATTCTCATTAATTTGCA